CGCACTTTCAACAACAACACATGACATTTACACAGCACCTTTCGAGTCAGGAGGACAGCCCCAATGTGCTGGGCGGTCAGGGATTTGGACCCGAGCTGGGGTGGGGGGGTTGGTATCGCTCCAATCCAGGCGGACGTTAGAGATCCCGCGGTGCTATTTGAGAAGAGAAGGGAGTTTCTCTCTCTCTCTGTGTCCCACCTGACAATCCCCCCCCCCACCGCCAGTCAAACTGCTCACTTGCTCCATGGCTGTTTGTGGGGGAATGTTGCTGTGCGCAAACTGGCTGCCGCGTTTCGGCCCAAAAAAAACATACAGTCACTCCAGTTTACAGTGGATCCAGTGAAGCGCTTTGAGACGTCTCGACAACACTGGATCAGACGGGAGGATTATTAGTATTAGTAGTAATCATTACCCATTCCTTCCCACCGACACCAAAGGGGAAGCGTTATAAACATACTGACTTCTTTTTAATAAAACGTTAAAAAATTCATGTCCTCTTGAGAAACGAAAGCGGTCAGGAAAATAGGGCAGAAAGAAAGAAATACCCTGGGCATTTGTCAAAAAAAAAGGCATAAAACCACTGTATTGTCAGAGGTGCCGTCCTTCACGAGACATAAAACCGATCTGCACCTGTTCAGGCGGATTTAAAGGTCCCACAGCGCTATTTAAACAGAGAAGGGAGTTTCTCCCCCCCCTCTCTCTCTCTCCCCCCCCCGCCTCCCAGTCCTAGCCAACAATTCCCCAAATAAAATCAGTCACTCACTCCATGGGAAGCTGTTGTGCGCAGATTGCCAAGCTGCCACGTTAGCCTGCAAAAGCACAGTCACTACACGTTAGCCAGTAAAATCTCCTGAAGCAAACGCTTCGAGATGTCCACCTGATGCGACAGGTGGACGTTAAAGATCTCCCGCGGCACTATCCCAAAAGAGAAGGGAGTTTCTCTCTCTCTCTCTCTCCCCCGGTGTCATGGCCGACAATCGATCCCCCAAGTGAAACCGTTCACTCGCTCCACGGCTGTTTGTGGGTCACTGTATTCAAAGCGAGAATTGATTTGGTTGTCCGCATCTCCCGTCTTGTGGTTTATGCGACAACAGTGTTGTGTGGATCAGTTGCCACATTTGCCTACAATCCCAATGCAAATATTTACATGTACCATCGGCTCTCAAGAGAAATAACAGATCCCTTTGGAGCGAGGGCTTCAAACGTGCCGCGACAACCCGGGCCTCTGCTCTGCTATGTGAAGCGCAGACCAGATTACATTCGGAGTTTGGGAACCCTTCAAAGTTGCACTTGGGGGAAAGCTCTTTCTTGCGGTTAATTTATAAATAGATTTAATATGACCCTGCCCCTCCCCCCACCTAACCAACTGTGACTAATTCGTCCTAAAGCACTCCGTCAGAAAGAGAAGCTTAAAGTGCGCTGTGGTTGGTACTCTACCCCTTCCAACCACTCCCTTCGCCAGCCCCGCCATCGATGGGCAAGCTTTCACCCAACTCCTCCACCTGCTCTCTGGAACTCCATCCCAGACTCGCTCCATGCCACGCACGCACGCACACGCATCTCCCCCCCCCCCCCCAACTTTAAAGCCCGCCTTAGCCCACCGAAAGAGGAAGAGAGAGAAATAAAAGTCAAACAAATTTTCCAACCGGTGTCTTGGCCGACAATCCCTCAAATAAAAATTAGTCATTTAGTTTCATGGCTGTCTGTAGGAAGCTGCTGCGCGTTATTGTGCTGCTGCATTTTCGCTCACAAATATACAGTAAAATCCTGTGAAGCACTTTGAGACATCTTTCTGACGTGATAAGGTGCAAAGATTATTATTATTATTATTATTCTAGGCTACGCTGGCTCCCTATCACAGAACGGATCGAGTTCAGGATCCTCACGTGCCACGCTCCCCGCCCGTTACTGATCACTGTTCTCAGTCGCCATCTGTGCCCAACAGAACTAGTGCAGCACAATCACAATCCATAAATAATTTAAACTAATTCCACGCATTCTGCCAGTGGTTATATTTATATATAAAATTACATTAAAAAAACGCCCGGAGACAAATGGGAAGGGATTGAGGTTCAATAAGGGCAGTGAGTGTCTCTCTCTCTCTCTCTCTCTCTCTCCACCTCTCTCACGTGTTCCGGTCGAGCAACAATCCCCTAAATAAAATTGGCCATTCGCTTTGTGGCTGTTCTCAGGATATTGCTGAGCACAAACAAATTGGCTGCCACATTCGCCCACAAAACACACAGTCACTACACTTGTACAGTCGATTCTGTGAAGCGCCTCAAGCACAACGTACATTTGCACAGTGCCTTTCACGTCAGAAGGACGTCCCAAGGCCCTGGACAGTCAACATCGAAAATACCACAACGGCTTCCTGAACTGCTGCTGCCTTTGTCACCTTCAGCCATGACGGCTTCCAGGGGAACAGAGGAAAATACAAGACAAATAAAAGACCGAGGTCCATCCAGTTCGCCTTCCACCATCCCGGCAGTTGCTTGCACGTGTCATGGCTGAAACTATTCCCAAAATATGATTTCTTAAAAGAAATCTACCTGATTTGCATTTGGAAGAATCAACACTTTTTCTGCTTCCACCGTCTCCCCCGGGGGAGTGAGTCTGTTTCACAGATTTATTTGCACGCCTGACCAGTTTACACAAGTGTAAGCAGAAGTGAGTCTCCATAAAAAGCATCTCGGAGTGTACACGTGCCAATTACACAGCCACCAACGGACAGTCCCCCACAGCGACTGATTACAAAGATTGGGTCCGACTGTGTGGAGGGTTATGTACAAAGTAATCGAGACAAGAAAACCGTGTGCAGGGCTGTTACTTTTTTTTAAGGTAAAGAAAAGGGGAATTGTGCATCACATCAGGCACGTAGTCATCTGACAGTACACTCAGCCGACACGTCTTAATCTTTTGCAACATTTTAAGTGCATTTCAGTTTCGAATCAGCGTGCGAGGCGGCTTGGTTACACGGTATCAACACGACAACGACACTTAGACTAACAATAACCTTTTGCGCTTGATACCGCGGCTTATCGCGTCGTTGAGACGCCTCAAAGCGCTTCACCGAAATAGACTGTAAAGTGGAGTGGCTGTGTATTTTGTGGGCGAAACCCAGCAGCCAATTGCGCACAGTCACAGTCCCACAAACAGTCGTGGATTGATGACCAATTTTTTTTTTCTTTGGAGGGATTATCATGTCCGGAGATCGACCCGCCAATCGACTAACATCTGGATTCCTTCGTACTCCGAGGTAAACAGAGGCGTGTGGAGTAAGGAAACTTGCCTAAGGTCTCACAAGTTTCCTTCCTCCGCACTCCTCTGTTTATTTCAAGCAGAACAATTCATGCATGGAAACCCTCTCTAATTCAAACATTCCCTGACAAATGTACAAATATAGTGTTCATTGCAACACAGCGTTTGCTGAAACCCAATTAATCATATCCCTTTTGCCAAAAAAAATAGGACATGAGGGTCAGGCCTGTAGATGGAGGTCAGTGGGGAAACGGCAATGATATTTCTAAATTCTGTGCGAACACCAGAGTGCATTTATCCAGACAGCGTTGCGATGGGATGCAATAATAATAATCATCCTTGCATTTGACATACCGCCTATCGCATCTTCACGGTGTCTCAAAGCGCTTCGCAGGATATACTGTGTATTTTGTGGGCGAAACGTGGCAGCCGATTAATTGCACCCAAACAGTCTCGTGGGTGACCACTTATTCTGATATGCATTTATGTTATAACGGGGATTATTACCCTCGGGTGAACGATCCTTCCCCCTTTCCAAAATATCTACAACAAAAATAATAAAACCTTGAAATACACTGCCCCCCCCCCCCCCCCCACAACCCCCGAATATATTAGATATTATTATATCTAAAGCCCTTTGCAGTTGCCTCGGGGTCAGATCCCAAACCATGTTGACAGCAGCACACGTTCAAGCGAAGGTTCCCTGGAAAATGCACACCAGGAATCCATCGAGAAGTGGGAAGCGTTTGCACAAGTGCCACAATAGGTATGTGCACTGCACTGTGTATTCCCGGGGGGGGGGGGGGGGGGAGAGAGGGAGGGGGGGGAGAGAGGGAGAGGGGAGAGGGGGAGAGAGGGGAGAGGGGAGAGACAGGGAAGAGGGATTGGTACTGTGTTACGAAGTGCATCCAGTGTTTTATTCCTGCAGGAGAGACAATCTACCAGCAACGCACTGCAAGGATAACAGCATACCCCAGGCTACACCCCTCCCTCCCTCTCCCCCTCTCCCCCTCCCTCCCTCCCTCTCCCCCTCCCTCCCTGACAGGAGACAGACAGGGGATGTGCTGAGAACACAGTACACTCACACACCCAGACACTGGCCGAGAGCAGTCTGTCTGTCTGTCTCCTTGTCTCTATGTCCCTTCTCTCTTTCTTTCTCTGTCAACCCTCCCCCTCCCCCCCCTCCCACACACACATTCTCTCTCTCTGTCTGCCTCCCCCCACACCCACACCCTCTCTGTCCCCCCCACCCCTCCCCCTTTTCGGTCATTCCCTCACACACACAGTCTCTCTCTCTCCCTCCCTCTGTCTGTCTCCCCCCCACCCTCTCAGTCATTCCCACACACGGTCTCTATCTGTCTGTCTGTCTGTCTCTCCCGCGCTCTCTCTCTCTCTCCCTCTCTGTCTCCCCCGCGCTCTCTCTCTCCCTCCCTCTCTGTCTCCCCCGCGCTCTCTCTCTCTCCCTCCCTCTGTCTCCCCCGCGCTCTCTCTCTCTCTCCCTCCCTCTGTCTCCCCGCCTCTCTCTCTCTCTCCCTCCCTCTGTCTCCCCCGCGCTCTCTCTCTCTCCCTCCCTCTCTGTCTCCCCCGCGCTCTCTCTCTCCCTCCCTCTCTGTCTCCCCCGCGCTCTCTCTGTCTCCCCCTCTCCCCGCTCTCCCCCCCCCTCCCTCCCTGTCTCCCCGACACCCTCTCTCCCTCTCCCCATCTTGTGACACACACAACGCTTCATTCACTCAACTCACCGCGGCGGCGGCGGGAGACTGTCATCCCGCGGAGCTGTGCGCACTCACAGGGCTGCAGAGGGCGGGCGGTGAGGGGTGGGGTGTGAGGGGTGGGGCGGGTGTGTGAGGGGTGGGGCGGGGTGTGTGAGGGTAGATGTCCCGCGGTGTGGCGGTGGCGGTGCAGAGCCTATCACAGCCCTCGGGGCCGCGGACACAGTGTAGCGATGAGAGGACACAATGTAACGAGAGTCGCGGATACACTGTGGAACATGGAGTGTCCCGTCCGCCCGCACCGGAAGCGCGGCCCGTCTGATGGACAGCCCGGCCAGCCAATCAGCGGCCGCCCTCCAGCCAATCAGCGGCCGCCCTCCAGCCAATCAGCGGCCGCCCTCCAGCCAATCAGCGGCCGCCCTCCAGCCAATCAGCGGCCGCCCTCCAGCCAATCAGCGGCCGCCCTCCAGCCAATCAGCGGCCGCCCTCCCGCCTGACGGACCCGCCAATCATCGCGCGAGGGGAGGAGGCGGAGGCGGGCTCTCCTGGCAGCTGTGTGTGAGGGGGGGGAGGAGCCGCCACTGCATTCTGGGAGATGTAGTCTCTGAGAATGACACGAACACAATCAATACATGTTTGAAATGAAGAGAGAAATGGCTGAGGACAGTCTCTCAGCAGATCAGGTCAGGTCAGGTCAGGCAGCCATCTGTCTGTGGCGTCCTGTAGCTCAGGGGTGAGAGCCCTCGCCTCGCCTCGCCAGCGAAGAGACCTGGGTTCAATCCCAGGCAGCGGGCGAGAGCTTTGGGCAAGTTTCTTCCGTACTCCGCACGGCGAGTAATAATCCCACGAGAAACAAAACAATAACAAATTGGTCGTTTTTCAATCCACGACTGCTTGTGGTGGACGCTGCTGCGCGCAATTGGCTGCCGCGTTTCGCCCACAAAATATACGGTCAGTTCACTTTGCAGCAGATCCTGCGAAGCGCTTTGAGACGTCTCGACGACGTGATAAGGTGCTACATCGAATGCAAGGATTATTATTATTATTATTATCATCATCTATGGAGAGAGGAAAATGAGTCAACGTTTCAGGTCGATGATCTTTTGTCAATTTCCTCTCTCCATAGGTGCTGCCTGACCTGCTGCGTGAGTGTTCCCAGCGACTTCTGTTTTTATTTCAGATTTCCAACATCGACAGCATTTTGCCTTTTTATTTAAATAAAAAAATAAATGTTTGAGATGCCAATCCAACACTTACAATAATAATAATAATAATCTTTGCATTTGATGCAGCGCGTTATCGCATCGTCGAGACGTCTCAAAGCGCTTCACAGGAAGTAGAGTGGAGTGAAGTGACTGTATTTTGTGGGAGAAATGCAGCAGCCAGTTTGCGCACAGCAGTGACCTAAACGTAGCCGAAGAGTGAGTGACCAAACTTGGGTGTAACAGTACAAGTGTGTAATCCGGACAGAATTACACACCCTACATTACTAATACAAACATTGTGTGTCAGCCTGACTCAGTAGGTAACGCGCTCTCAACTTTGAGTCAGAAGCTTGTGAATTCACGTGACCCGTGTTGGAATATTTAAACTCTGCCCATTCCCCCCTCCCGCCCCCCAGATAAAATTGATCATTTCAGTTTGTGGCTGTTTTGGGGACGTTGCAATGTGGAACTTGGTGGATGGGTATTCCCATAAAATTCAATCGCTGCACTCCTCGGTCACCAACTCCTGATGGGAAAGGTGCTGTACCAACTGCAAGGATTTGTATCATCTTTGGAAGTGATCTGAACCAACCCACATCAGCCCAGGAGCTCTCGGCTTCAATATTGCACTGTCATTATACCTCACAAAAAGTTCACTCTATCCACGACTGTTGACATCGCTGTGCGCAATTGGCTGTCGCGTTTCGCCCACAAAATACACAGTGAATCCACTTCACAGGATATTCTGTAAAATGCTTTGAGGTGTTTCAACCACATGATAAAGCGCTATATCAAATGAAAGGATTATTATTATTCTAACAGGGTGTAACAGGGTTTTGTTACTATTATGAGGTAGTTCTAATTCTGCACAGCTAAGAAACGTACTGAATCAAAAAAAAGGATATACAGTGCTCAGTTCCCCCACCCCTCCACCCTCCTCCTCTCCCCCGCTCTAAGACAGTGATTCACTGCAGTTAAAGGTCCGAGGAATGTCAGCTCTGCACTTTCTCCAGGACCGTCATTCTTCACACCTCAGCACAATCGATGAGTAATTAATGAGTGTGCCAGAGCACAGCCCAGTCACCTCAACCCATGGAAGTATATGACACTGCAAGGAGATCATTTGGCCCATTTTTCCATGGGAATGTTTGCTCCTTGAGGAAGCCATCCTTCCTAATCCCATTTCCTGCTCTTCCCTGTGAGAACTCAATCCCTGTGTCCTCCGAGACCCTTCCTCTGCACTTGCTCAGCTAACCCAACAGCCAGAGACACCCATCGTCACTGCACAAACCCTGGCCATTACAGTGTTCCTCTGGCTTGTCCAGAGACTAATTGGGCCACTCAACCCCCAGTTCAGATCTATTAAAACTCAACACAGATCAGACTTTGAACAGGGAAAAAGTCTTCTTGTGGCTCAATGTTCCTTGGGGACCTTTCACATAAAATAAAACGTTTCAGAGCGGTTTAGGAAAGAGATGAATCATAAATTAAGTCAATAAAGGTTAAGGCGGTAGCTAAATCACACCAGCCACGATGTTACACAAGACAGATGAGACAGAAATCAAATTCATTCAAATTTGGGGCCGAATGGCGATGTTTGTGGGGGTGAGGGGGCAGGAGGGGGAAATATAAATAAGAATGACGTCCCTTTTCATTGAAAAGTGAAACGTGAGAGAGGCAGGGTGACCTCAGAACCACACTGAGACGTTGAGTGACCAAAAATCTTTCAGACTTTAGGAAATAATAAACACTTCAATTCTTTTGTCAAAGTCATTTTTGTTTTTTAAAAAAATGAAATGTTTCATCTCCAGCGGAATTAGCTGCAAAAATAGCTCAGAGATAATTCAGGCTTGTCAAAAGCAATCTCTCCTCCAGTGCAACAATAAAAACAAGGAAATAAAAGATACGGATCATTAATTTAATCATATCATTTTGACGATATCAGAGATAGTCCGGGAACTGCGAAAGCTAACCTGAAATGATTTATTCCCGTCATATAAATCCCAAAAATTAGATTACTGCTTGAAACCACTCTCCAGGAATCTGCTATTATTCATAATGTATTATGTTTAAATTTTATGGGGAGATTTTGTTTAGCTTACAAGTCACTTTTGGGCAAGTTTTAGCCAGCGGGCAATCACGGGGACACTTTTCTGTGTCCCAGATACACAATGCTCCTCACACTCCAGGATTAACACTTGTGACACATGCACGAGAGAGAGGGAATAGAGGGATATGGGGGGGAAGAGAGGGATTGAGATGAGAGAGGCTCAAGTAGAGTAAGAAGCAAAGAACATAAGAATTTGCTGGCGAAAGAAGACCAATGTCCATCTAGTTCCCCTTCCACCATCCTGGCAGTCGCATGACATATCGTGTCCCAAACTATCTACTGTATCCCCAGATATTATTGTCTAACAGAAATCTGTCTAATTTGTTCTTGAAACAAACAACACTTTCTGCTTCCACCGGCTCCCCAGGAAGCTGATCCATAAGGTTACCACTCACTCACTGAAGTAGTGTTTCCGCAGATTTGAGTAGAAACATCAGCACGGACTAGTTGGGCCAAATGCCTGGAACATAATGAGAAATAACACATGGTGATAATAGCAATGCTTTCCACCAAGGTCACTGCCCTCATTACGAGGTGTGGGAACCTCTGCGTCCAGTAATGGGGGCAGTGAGCTTGGTGGAGTGGAAAGCATTTTACCTTTTCAATAACGGAGAAAAAATGGCTTCCAAATCAAGACTAAATCGAAGAACTTCGGATGAGTTCAAGTTAAAACGAGATGCCGTCTGTGCCTGTTCAGGTGGACGTTAAAGATCCCACTTCGAAAAGAGAAGGTAGTTTCTCTCTCCCAGTGCCCTGGTCAAATAAAATCGGTCGCTCAATCTGTGGCTTTTGTGGGACAAGGCTGTGCGCACCTTATACAGTCAATCCACTTTACAGTATATTCTGTGAACCTCTCTGAGACGTCTCGACAACGTGATAAGACTCTGTATCAAATGCAAGGATTATTATTATCATAACTTTCACAACAATCTACAATTTCTCTAGTTTTAAGATGACTGTTTGCGGGATGCTGCTGTGCTCAATTGTCTGCCGCATTTCGCCAACAAAATATGCAGTCACTCCACTTTACGGTATATTCTGTGAAGCGCTTCAAGACGTTGCAAAGACGTGATGAGGCGCTGCATCAAAAAAANTGCAAGGATTATTAAACAGTCTCACGGGCAAAGCTGCGATCTCAGAGCTCGACTCCTGTGTTAGCTGTGTTAGTTCTGGGACCAGAATCAGGTGAAGCATCTGTGGTCAGTGTGAAAAGAGAAAGGGGGCGGAGGGGAAGGTTTGCACGTGTCGTGGTTCCTGCTATTCTCTCGGGCCATTGACTCAACGCTGAGGATCTGCACTGATGCTGGTGTCGAAAGACAATGTTGCTCAGAAGGCATTTAGGAAGAAGACAGACAGCACAGCGACTCAGCCGAGGGCAAATCACACACAACGTCTTCACAATGTGGTTTAGAGGTTAAGAGATCTGCTGGTGGCTGGCGGACATTCCATCTCTTGTGATCTGCCTTAATGCAACCAAATGAATTGCACCACCTCAGTCAGCTGGGCTCAGTTGGTAGATCTCAAAGTTTGGGCTCAGACTGTTGTTAGGTAAACTCTTGCCGCAACTGTAAACTGACGCTCGAGTGAAATCCTCAAAGAGACAGGTGTGAACAATCCCATGACGTTATTTGAAAGGGAAGGGAGTTTCTGGTGTCCAAGCCCACAATTGTATCAGACTAGTGAGTGAGTCATTGACATTTTGTTTGTGTGAGTGTGTGTGCATATAATAACCTTTCATTTGATACAGCACCTTATTGTGTTGTTGAGACATCTC